TCTCGAAAGTGCGTGGGAATTTGAGGGTATGTCTACTCACCAAAAATGATTGTAATTGACCCCCACAACCGACAATAATTTTTTCAGAATGATTTGAAACACATGAAATTTCAGGGAAAATTGTCATATATGGTCAGACATTAGATTTTCGGTAATTTTTTTCTCGAAACTGGGTAGGAATTCGGGGGTATGTCTCTTCACCAAAAATGATTGCAATTGCCCCCTGTAACCGAAAATAATTTTTTCAGAGTGATTTGAAACTTTTTAACGAAGCCTTAGTCAACAAATTGATATTCTTGATTTTATTTTATTTTGGCTTCTAGAATCTCTCATTAAAATTTTTTCCCAGGAGTGCACAACTTGCAATTTTATTTTTACAACCCTCTCTGACAAAAGAAATAATATCCAGTTGAAAAGCGAAATAAAAACCTCGAAGGGTTGATGATTGATATGTTCGAAGCTCGCTTTTTTGTGCAACGAGTATGATTATCAGGGAAGTGTATGCACCTTAATTCTATAAAGGTGTGAGTAGAAACCAGTTTCTAGGATCTCGAAAGGTATTAATAGCGTTCGACCTTACGTCACCCTCTCTAAATCGTGAAATAGGGGTTGGCTAAGGACCTGGCTACGAAACGAGGGAGACGATGCTTTCTGGCAAGAGATCTGTATGAAACAGCGCGTCACTTGACCCGGTACAGCGACGCCTAGACTCGTATGCAAAACTTCCGAATAGCAACATTTCTGGCATTCGCTTCTCCGATCCAACAAAGACTGTCGAGTCGACCTGTTTCTAATGAACCACCCTGTGGACGCTGCTGTACACGTATGTACGTAGATCGACGGTGTGATTTTACAGCATGAGAGGGGAGGGGAAAAAAAAGTAATTCTACGATCGTTAAAAAACTCGAACACACCGTGCAAAGTACCGGACCGTAAAACCGTGTTACCAAAACGTGCTTGATTATAGAATCGCGCTCAGAAATGGACGCTACACGCTTTTTTCCGCGTCGACGAGAAATAAAATTTCGATACTTTGGGAATACTACGCACGCGACACCCACGCCACTCGTAAATTTCAAAATGACCTTTTAACGCGTTGACTGCCCCGTTAACCGTGCGTTAACTTTTTGGATTCGAGTGCATCGGCTCTGGATCATTTTCAAAGTATACAAATCGAATATAATCGAAATCTGAACGAATAAACGTCGAAGCCACGATCTCAACGCTTTTGCGATAACTACTGTCAACTAATTTCTTCGTGGTCGTTAATTCGAAGAATTGAGTTTCGATCGACTTCCCGTCATTTTCGTCCGGCGTGTGACGTGTAAATGTATCTAGGACGAGATCCAATGGCCGCTAACCGGCTCGGTGCGCGTACGTGGCGTCTAAAGGGCAGTAACTGACCGTGATATTAATTGCTTTCTGGCTATTAGCGAATGGTACCTCGGAGATCTCGCAGAGGGAGTGGCGGAGCCCTGTAGGACCGTTTGCCATTAACATTAACGCGACGCGATACGCTTTGCTCGTTCCGAGGCGCACAAGTCCGTGTACGTACGCTTAAATCACCGGGTCCGGCAGAAAGCGAAAATGCCCCCCGTCCATTGTTTATCGCGTCGACAACGTGCACACGAGTCGCCGCTGAAAGTTAAACTGCAACGCGACGACCAATCTCGTACCCGTGTCGCCTCTCTTCGTTTATTTCCTGCCTTTGTGTACATTTCCGTTCGCCAACCCCCTTGTCCTTGCTTCCTAACCCTTCGTCAAGGATCTCGAAACGAGTCTAAAGATGTTTGCAAGATGTCTGGTCCCTTCAGAGACTCGCCAAGAAAAGTCCACGACTTCTTGTCCCGACAATTTTAACGATCAGTGTTTTATAAAATTGAAATAGTTTTCTGTTCTTCTTGAACTTTGTATATTTATATTTACCACGAAAAGTTATTTCGAACCCTTATGGAGTCGAATAATATTTTTTGAGGGGAAAAAACTAAATTTCAGGATTTATACGTTGTGTGAGAATTATTGAAGCAAACGTGCGTGTTATAGCTATTCCTATTTTATGTTTTTCGTATCTCTCGCTCGTCCATGAAAACATGCTCGTATCTGACGATATATTTTTGTTTTCGACGCTGGCTGGAAGAAATATCGGTTTGGTCCGGAGCTGACGCAATTTGGTACAACGATATCCTTCTCGAAGGCCATTTTTACACCTCTGGCAGAAATAGGTGTCCATGATTCATTCGTTAAGAAATGATATAACAAATAGAGAACGAGAAGAGTATCATAATGATCGTTTCTAAAAAGAATGTACGTCGAAGTCAACTTTGGCATCGCGTGGAGAATTTATTCGATTCCCACGATGTGTCGCGAGAGATTTAAAGCCAGTCTTGACGGTTGCACATTATCGTGTAAGGAAATTTCGCTGAAGGCAGGTTGAAGGGAACGGGAAAGGTGGAAATCTGTCTGTGCGAGATACGACGAGTAGGGTGTACGCTGGAGAACCTTCCATTCAGAATCTTGAACAACCATTTTTGTTAAATCTGCTGTGTGGGGTCGAGTGTTGCCGCGTTGGAGGAGCAACACGTGTCGGAGATGCTCGTTTTTATTCGCCCGGAGACTCCATACTTTTTAACCCACAACTTTACCGTTATCAAGGCGGGACGATAATGTCAAGGAAACCACGACAAAAAGAAGCTAATGACGAAGTGGAAGGCACAATGGAACTGCTCCGTACTCCACTTTACGCGTTAAATCCCTTCAAAATTATCAAGACGTTCGTGCAAAAATAGTTTCAGGAAAGCGAGCGTATCAATATTTTCTCAGTTATTGTATAATACGATATAATCATCGGAAAATAAAATACAAAAAATAATATTAATGGACAGATCTGCTCGATGTGTCTGACCATCGATCACTGTTTCTACTAGAAATTAATTTTTAATTTACGTAATTAAAAACAAAAATTGGGATCATTCTGATGGAAAAAAAAATCTAGAAATCCCACAATTCCATTTCCCACGTTCCTCGAAGCTCCACAAGGGCAGAGATTCCATTCGTCGAAAAACTGTTCGTGGCACGTTTTTACGTTCGATCTGAATTTTATATATAACGATACTAATCTCGCCCACCGACGAACAACGATGAAAAAGCGAGGAAATTTGTCACGTAATCGACGATACGGGGTTCGATTCCTCCCCCGTTGCGTGCGACTCGCGTATTTTTCATTCGGTGACAAATGGCGCGTATTAATGAGCACCGCGAGAGATATCGATCGATCGTTCCCCGTTTAGTATCGATAAGCAATCGACCGGGACCCGGTGTCGTGGCCCCGATGAATCAATCCGTAGGAAAACGCGATTCTCCGGGCCCCGTGCAAACACTTTTCTATTCACTTCACTATTTGCGATTTACCAGCTTGGATCGGTCATTTGCGTATTCAAAATAGTTTCGAAAATTTACTAATGCGTACCGACGACTTGCGTCAATACCAATTCATTCGCTGTTAAAACGATTCGCAAACACGCGATCGTTGATTAAGTTTCGACTCGACCGGATGCGTAGCTCGTTCGTTATAAAAATGTTGCCCGAATGGAAATTTCGCGATAACAAACGGTTTTTAATGGCGGAAGGGGCATTAAAATTTCCCGGTTTTTGGTCGATAAAAATACGGCGAGATCGATGCCCGCGGACGTACTTATTGCACTTAAACGGAGCTGCTAATGATTAACGGGAACTCGATGTAATGATAATGTATCGTCGATCGCTGTGAATTAACGACGAATGAATTACATATGCGTTTGCAATAAGTGCGACACCGTCGCTGATTTATCGCTTCTGTATCGAAATCCGGGGTATGCTCCAATTACGTGGCTGATGTCGCTTCTGTTTTTACTGCACGGGTGTAATGTACTAAAAATAATGAAATAATTAAATCGTAAATTTGATACAACCGAGGGTTGATAATTCGTATCGTTTAACTTCGAAAATATTGATTTACGAGACCGATACCGCCTTCCGTTCGAGTAATATAAAAGTAATGGAAGTTCGATATCTGAATGTTGCATTCGTTTATGCGGGGGCGTATCTCATAAAGCACGACAAACTGTTTAATAAAGATACTGCTGGCTTAATGGGACCCGGAGGACAGGGATGGCAACCCCATCGTTCTTTTAAATGGGCACGTTACTGCATTTGTTAATATTTCGAATAATAGGGAATAACGTTGTTAAAAATTCTGCACGAATACGAGTGGAATATTAATTATCTTCAACAGGGACCAATTTACGTTTTATCAATGTCGGCGTCGAGGGCTTCGAACATGGGAGCATAGTTATCGATCACGGTTGAACGACCCTCTTCAGAATAATAAACACAAACGATAAAAATTATTTGTCTCCGTGTACCACTTTAATTAAGAACAATAAAGTTGGTACGATGTGCTTGGATAAACAACACGTTGCAAACACAATAATAATAGAAATTAACGAAATGTCAATTCCGGGGGAAAGAAAATAATTCTAGCAACGTACGTAGCGCCGATAACTCATAGAAAAATTGTTATTAATTTTTATTTACTCGAGTGATAAAATAACAAATAAATCCTGCCTACAACAGTATTCCCGTTGACGTTTATTCGATCGAACGGTTAGCTTTTCATTTGTTCGTAGCGAAATATTTCGTTCCGCGATCGAAATTTGTATTTTCATTTAACGACCGACCAAACAAACAGTTGTTTACTTTCTAATCGTTAGTCGACATTTCTATCCGAATAGAATTTTTCCCCCGACGAGACAAAATTCTAACATTATAATTCATTGTGAAATATTTCCACGATTGAAATTTTTATCTGAGATTTAATTTAAAATTTATAACCTCGTCAAAATTCATGTATTTTCTTAGCAATGACTATCTTTCGCGAACGACACAGACGCAACGTGTTAGAGTAATTCAAATAAGAATCCTATGGAATGGTAATAATGGTGTTTGGATGAGTGGAAATTTACCTTGAAAGGCAGCCTCGAAGGTGGTCTTCTCCTCGACGGGGTTCTGCCCGAGCACCAAGATGACCGTCAAATGAGCGAGGATCACGAGAAACCGGCAAACACGTAGTTCGGCCATCGTCCTGCGATGTACATGCACCCGCTGGCCCGCGAGACAGAGTTCACTTTTGCATTTCACGTCTAGCCGTACCGGAACTTCTCGATCGGGCAATCGATTACCCCGCGGTCGACTCTCGGCGTCGAGCGCGCACTAAATCCGCGTCGGGAAACGGGGCACACTTTCTGCAAAAGGATAAACGGCGTGACGAGCACCGCGTAAAACACTGGGCCGTCTCTCGAGAAACACTTTTCTTTTTTTGTATTTTCTATCTCCCGCGAAACAACGGGGAAAGGCACTCGGTCAAGTGTCTCGGAACATGGCCGAAACTCCGATGGAACGAGATACGAGGTCGTGTCAAGGTAACGCATCGACGTGTGTAACGACAACTTCGCGAGGACAAAAAGCGGACCGTTGGGCCACTGCAAACTCTGCGTGTACGTGTGCGTTCGTGTCGGAGACAATATTGACTCGGCAATCGCAGGATATTTCGAGGGAAAAAAATTAGTCAAGAATAAAGAGTCTGCTTAGTTCGTGACGTCATAAAGAATTTTTCCAATTGAATTTCCCCCGGCTCGCGAATTTCGACGTGAAATCGATTTCGTACGGTGTCAAAGTTGCTTTCTCAATTTTCTTTCTCGTTCTACGCGAGCGTGACGGATATTAAATTAACTTTGTACCGACCCCAACGTTCCCTGCAATATTCACCGTTCGATTTCGACTACACACACGCACGCACACGCGATGCTTCTTTCCCTGGTCCTTTTCGACATCGGCTGCAATTTAACATCCAGGCGTGTAATGAGACCCTTATGATATTTACCGTCGGCGAATGATCGGTCTCTATTTGCCCGGCGATATCCGATGCAAATTCACTCGACACGGTATGCATAACAATATATCGGTATGCATATTTCAACCGCGGCTCACAGAGGGAACACACTTTTCCAACAACGAAACGAGGAACGATGGAAGACCAGAACGAAATAAGGCCTTTGTACGAATTCACCGTGTATCCTCGAGGCAGCGACGACGCCGGAATAAGTCGGGCCAGAGGACGAACGCGACGTCTACTGTTTACTTGGAACGAGCGTCGCAGGGGGGGGGGGGAAACAAATTCGTGATTTCTCGAAACCAAACAGACGACCTCTCTCGAGACGATGCGAACTGTTACGTTACGATAGAACCGCGATTCCTTGACACGACCGGGCGACTGAAGGCTATCGAACTCTCTCTGCCTTCCTTAAACTTCCCAAAGGTCAACGGCCATAATCGAACTGCTGGAAATATCGCAGTTCCGACGCGCGTAATGAAATCGACCGCTAAAGCACCGAATAACAGTTAACGATTCACGTTCCGGAGCACGAAAACAGCGTTTGGCTCCTGAAAATAATTCAACAATACCTATGAATTAATTGAAAAAACTCCACCAGGTGTAAATAGTCGTAAACAAATTGATTGTCATGGTTTAAAACCACGATTAAAAGGACTTTGAGGGTCGAATCCCCTCTGTAACATAAATTATATTTGTAAAATAGTTATTCTAAAAACTACTATATCAAATCGATCTCCAAAAAATATAGATAACGGGTACTAAAACACACGTTACACAGTTGACAAGAAACTTTCAAAGTAAAGGAATATAGTTTAAAGGTGTCGGGAGAGTCACGTTTTCAAATTGAAAAAAAAGAACACGCGTGACACTGTGGGACCAGAATGACGCACTTCGGTGCGCAGAATGGAAAGATTAACGTCGAAACGAAACGTATCGTGGAATAGGAAGGCAGAGGAGAACACGGTGGTAAAAAAAGTACGGGCAAGAGCGTTCGAAACGTGGCTGGACGAGGGACGGTCACGTCGGTCCCGTCGTACCTGTTGGAGAATTCACGCGACCGTCGGTTCCGCGGACGAAACGATGTGGAATACGTCGGTCGAATGGGAGTTTGCAACACACGCGAACTCGAACCGTGAAAGGAGCTCCGCGACAGCCGTCGACGCCGGCCGGTGTCTCCAATCGAACTGCGGGGGTTGGTCGACGGTGGCGCCGCCGAGGGACGCCGAACGTCGCCGTGCGGCATGCGTCATAACGCCACCGCCTTCGATCGGCCGCCATTTTTTTTTTGTTCGCCGCGTTACTAACCCCTTGAAAACATTCCGCCCCGAAACGGCGTGTTTCCCGATCGCCCGGCACCGGGGGGGGGCCACGCGCAGTCGTTCCTCCCGCGAGAAAAAAAAGATCGGTTTCACGCCGTTTCGAAAATTTTCTGCTCCCCGCAAAAGATACTCGGGTCGCGCGTCCCGTGACATCGCGACCGACGGGGGGTCGTCGCGTATCGCGCATTGAATTTTCCGTAACTTCGTTTTTCGTTTCGATCCGAGCCCGAAATGCGCGTCGTTCGTCGAACATTTCGCACGGTTGATCCTACTAGTTCCCGACACGGAAGTTTTTTTTATACGTTTCCCGGACCATTAACGGCGCTATTGTTCCGGTTCGTTAAAAGGTTAGTGAATCTCCTTCCTTCACGCTTTGTCTATCTGATTTCCGGGACAACGATCGACCCGTTTCTGGTGACGCGAAACGACGGAATGTTTCGCGAATTAGGAAATTGTTTAATGTCTCAAAATAAATTTCCAATGTATTTGAAAGACTATTCTTTGTTTTATGTTGATGTTTCGATTGTGTATGCTTATCCAATGGCATCGAATTTTGTGTACAAATGCTGTAGTTTTTATTCTTGCTACGCGATGCTGTATATTTATTCATTAATTTGGCAAATAGCTTTCGTGACTTACACGGAAGATTCCGTGCCTCCCCATCCGTGAATCTCTCGCTTATGGCCCCCAAGAGATACACTATGACTCACTGAGGGGACCATATGGCTCCCATTGAGAATCACTGTACTAATGGAAGGGTGGAGGCTTCTTTTCCAGGTTTATCCGCTATTTCATTTAGGGAAACGACTATGCATGCTAGAATCCATGCAAGTGATCTGTCTTATTTGGAATTCAACGATCCACCGTACCATTAATTGCACCTCTCCAATCGATGAAGATTATGCATTTCTTGTTAAGAAACTTGCAGGCGATTTTACACCAAATTGAACCATCGAATACTGTTTATTGGTTGTTAATATCAAAAATTTATAAAGTGAATAAATAAATACTATGCTTTTAAATATTTCCACCCTTATTACGTGTCCTTGTTACAGTCGATCCCAGTTATAACGAGCAAAGAGCCATAATTGATTTTCATTTACTAGTATCTTCATACAATTGTTCACTTTGCAACGCAAAACTTTCGGGAAACTTTAAAAATGTTCAAATTCGTAATGAAAACTTTAATTAAAACCATGTATATCGTTAATTAATATTGCTTAAAAGTATACAAATTTTCAAATTACAAATTGTGTCTGATATTCAATATATTCTAAATGATACAAGAATAATAATGGAATTTCATAAAATCAAGACAATTCCAAAGAAAACCAATAATCATTTACCATTTTATATTTCCCCAACCATAAATAAAGAAACAACGGACGAGGAATAAATAATTTGCGACGTTACTTAAGCGAACGCTCCTCATAATAAAAGAAACATAACCGTGTTCTGAAATTAAAATGTTATTCACACATGTTATTTATTGTTTATTATTTGAATACAAAATTCGCCAAACTCTGCGTTTAACTCATTACTAATATACAGCGAGTAATGGTTATAACGAGGAAATTTGTCCGGTCCCCCGGTGCTCGTTATAACAGAGTTCGTCCGTATTTAACCTAATATTTTATTTCATACGAGAGGCACCGTAAAAGCGCTGTAAAACTCGTGCAAAAGTATTCTGGTAAAAAGAAAAAAGAAGAGAAAGAAAATATCGTGAACGAAAGATCCGCACTCCATATTTACAATTATACAAAATCATTCTTACGGCGCATTAAAAAAATAATTCTCCCGTCGCGAGAGCCGAACGAGTATGTTTGACACGGCCGATTTCCCATTAAATTATCCGAGTCGTACACTCGAGTGTGCTACAATATGCATAACAATAAAACGTATCAACGAGCAAATTCAAATTTCCAGTTAACAATCAGGCGCAACAATAGTACGGTCACAAAGGACTGAAATTCACGACGCATCCGCGAGGTCGAAATTTACAGTCGTCGCTGCGAATGTTAACGCGATACAAGAGAGCTTTTAATGTAAAAGAAATAATTACCGGTAGCGCGACGAGGTGGGGGAGGGAGGGGGGGCCTCGACTTTCGCCGAAGCAAATTCAAATTCCGCTCGAATCGATTAACGAACCCGCTTCTCGCGGTTAATCGAGTTCTAGTTCTCGTTCTGCAGGACCTTAACGATAAACGAATAATCTTTGCCGCGGAAAACTCAAAGCGACGGAAACCTTGAAACGTCTGCGACGGAATAAAGTTGCTCGTAAGGGGTGGCAACGACGTCGTGGAAATTAGGCGAAACGTCGATATGGAAATTTACGCGTGGAATCGCGTGCACGCGATGTATTCCTGGTTGCGCGATAAATCGAGACATAGAAGTATTTGTACCGAATTATATTACTCTCTGCACAATATTCTATCATACATACATATATATATATATATATTTATTAACAATATCAATAACATACGAACAAGACTATTGTATCAGTTAATTAAGCGTGATCCCGTGACACTTCGCCGAAATTCGGTTTTGCAATCGTTCGCGGGACAACGCCGATCGTAGTAAAAAATAATTCTGAACACGTGTAAAAATCAAAAAATACGTTACGAAATCTAATACTGTAAACGTTACCATAAATATAGATACTGCGTATACCTTAACGGAAAATATAAACTTACAAGTAAATGTCGTAAAGCGTTTCTTCCATTCGTCGCGAGCAAATTTCGGTTTATTCGATTACATCAATTATCGAAACGATCTCGTGTTTCTGGTCCTCTTCGAGGATTTTTAAAAACGGTTTCTCGCCCTTGTGACAATTTTTGGATACAAAAATCGGCGAAGAGGGCTCGTAGCAAGGTTGCAGGGGTTTCGATGAATTATGTAGTTAAATAAATAAATTGCTCGCGAGGAACGGAAGAGGTGCTTTATTGTTTTCTTCCCATAAGCAAAAATTAAGTTTAATTAAATTGTAAGAGCACCTTACGGACGGACCTCTCAAAGAGGATTCTAGAGCCTAGAGGGGAAAGGAAGTACATGTTACAAGCAATATCGCGATTATAAACAAAATTATTGGCGTTCTCGTGCTTGTCGGAATGAAAAGAAAAATAACACGTTTGTATGGAAATTTCTGTTTAAGTCGCGATCGTATTTTGGACGGATATTCTGCGAATAGTTTGAACAATTTGAGCGATCGTCGATTCGATGAAAAAGGTATCGAAGTCAGTCTGAGAGGAAGAAACGTATTTTGTACGTACCAGACCTGTGCAAATTTTTAAAAAAGTAGTAAATACTTGGAGTAATATTTCGGTTTCTGACCACCTGAAATGTCTATTTGGAAAACTATTTCAGATAGACTTTGAAACGATAAGTATTATAGTCTTTTGCACAATGAGAAAGTATGTTATTCTAATTTCTTTAACCCTTTAACGACGGAAAGAAATCTATAATTTCCTGTGTATATGTATATACATATAATATACATTTCGTGGATATTTGTAATTCATACAAATCATCAAATGAAGCGCGTCATATTAATTTACTTCTTTCTTTTTCTCTCCCAATCGTTATCATCGTTTTAACGACGGACAGAGATTTTATTTCCGCTCAAACGCATCGTGTATCGTTACTATTCGATCGTATTTAAGTTTCAGTTTAACATGTAGTCCGTATTAATATCTGTAATAATCTCCAACTTTTCCTTCCTTCAGAGTGTCTCGCGAACGACACGAATTACGAGTCGACCCCAGTTCAGACGAGTCGGTTATTTCCAAGAGCATCCCGCCGTATCGCCGTCCCGAATATGCACAAATATTAATTTTCGAGAAGTTATTTCGCGAAACGAGATAATTATGTTTCGGAGACCGAAGCAAGTCGACGTTATTCGGAGCAGCGTTTCAAAATTGCTCGAAGTCTGGTACGTACCCGTCGTGGACGGAAGAGGCAATCGAATCAGTATCGTACCGTCGCTACTTAACGCGATAATAACATTTGCAGCACGGTACCTACCGTCGCTAATTTCATGCTACTTTCCAGGGTTCGATGCAGTCGAACAATGTTGTCATATAATTCACACTCCCGGGTTCCATAGTGCTCTAAACGATGACTTACGCCGTATCCAGGCTCGTTTGCATATAGACAGTCACTCGAGAAACGTACTTGCGCGAGGCGGTTCGAAACTTATCGCGCGACAACGAGCCGCGATAATGCTCCTTCCCGCGACCGAGGCACCGCGCAATCAGACGATGCAAATCCCGCGTTTGCCTCGCCGTTAAACGACGGTTAATAATTCTTAATGGTGTTCGTGATCGAGACCCACGTATCTTCTATCGGCGCCAGCACGGTGATCACGATCAACGCCGCCGCGAACAGGACGATCACCACGAAATACACGCCGAAGATGAATTTCCTGATCCCCGAGTGCTGTCGAACAGTACGGGAAATTAGAGTGGGCGGGGAAATCATGGTCGCCAGCGACGGGAGGGGAGAACGATACCCTATCGATACTTTATCGATACGCGTTCTTTAATCTGGGAAAGTTGATTCAATTTTTTTTATGTTACAAATTTTAAGAATACTTCTCTTCAAACATATGTATGAAACGGAGCTTCATTGACCTACTAGTTTTATTTTTTAAAAATTATCAATGAAATGTAGAGGGATGAAACATCCATCAGAAATAAAATTTAATGGAACATTTTAAAAATAGTATTTTCCATTAGAAAATCACTGCTTCATTCCCTCGGAATATTTTCTTATTTGAAGTATTCGAGTTCCAATAGTACCACAACCCCAATTCGAACGTTGAACCCTTGGCCCCCCGAATTAAGAATACGAATCATTTTGTTGTGAAATTTACAGTAATGTAGAAACTTAAGATGAACGAATCGATACCAATTACCAAAGATTTCTGTGTTTGTTGATACCTCCGAGTAAATAGTTTGAACATCGTCGATATCAGTCCCGTCGCTGGTTGTAAACATTCTTGGGTCATCGTGGCGATTTTTATTAGCTAAAAAACTTACGGGAGCATCCTGTCTCGCATCCGGATGTACCATCGAGCCGCGGGAGTGGGTGTCCTTCATGGGGAACGAATTCACCCTCTGACTGGCCTGCACGTCGGAGGCGCATCCGACGAACTGAAACACAGATCGATCTTCTTCGTTATGCGCGTAACGCACGTGTTGTACGAGCACCGGGGTGGCCAGAACGTTACAAATTTCGTGATTGTTCCAGCGCGGCGTCACTAAATCGCGCGATCGCGGCGATTTTCGACGCCGGCACAATACGATCAAAGGTGAAATGTTTCGGATATAATGTATAACTGACTCGTTCGTTGTTATTAACGCGCACTTTCGAAGAGAATGCCCGGCTAATTGCATCGAAACGTTAGCAATTTGCAATGGTACACATTTAGAATTGTATTCCGTTACCCCTGAAATGTTCATTATATCGTTAATTGTTACGTTCTCGTTGTATACGATGGCTTCGGACAATTTTTCATTCGAGAGCATTAACGCGATGTACACTCGATCGCGTAATTATTCCGGACACTGTTAGAGTTTGTGGTACGTTATGTTACAGTATAAACAATTTTTCCTGAGAATATACCGTTGTTTAAAATATGGAGGAACAGGAAGAATAGTTGATTTGATGTGCTGCAAAAATATTGGAACATCGATAATTAATTGTTATTGTATTGTCTTTCAAAAAGTAGTTACTTTGCATTAAAATAATGGTGCATTTTGAATAGGACACTTTTGAAGAATACACAATTATATAGCTGATCTAAAGAAAAATAAAGAATATGGATTCTAACTACTTGCACATTTTAATTAATTTCCCAATAAAATGGACGTCGAGAGTTTCGCTCAGAATCCGGTCATCTGCAACATCCCAACGCTTATTTCTGATTTTGAATAATTCATCGTTCCACGCTAGCGTGAAATATCCTTCACACTTTCGCCGCGAACTTCGTCCCGCAATAATTTAAACATTCTTTGGAGGTTCTGCATCCCCCGTGCGCTTCATTTTTTCAATTCACCGACCATTCGGAGATCTCCGTTTACGGACCAAAGTGGGACACCTCGTACGGATAAAATATACAATACAGGTGTACCGGAGGGGGGCATTTGCCTTATAAATATAAAATATCATACTTACGGTGAGGATGAGGTGAGTCAGAATGTGGAATACAACGTAGGCGACCAGAATCCAGTCGACCCATTCCGGGAGTTTGGCCTTGTTCAATCGGACCGCGAAGAAAATTGCGATTACTGTGAAAGGAATTTCAATGCGTCGGTTAATCCATTGTTCGTAGGACGAATAAATAGAAAAAGAGAAACGAGCACACGCAACACTAGCCTCTCAAGACTTCGCGAATAACTCGTTTACGTAATAACTTGACTTTAAATCATTTCTAAAAGAGTTAATAATATTGTAAATTTTTTAAATTATTTTCGAATAAAAAATTATTTAATATTTTATTCGTATCCCAAACGAAACGAAGTTACTTTTCTCGAGGGGTGAAACTTACTGCCACAAATCTGCGCCGCGTTTCCAACGAACCAGTGCGCCCAATTGAATAAAGGTCTTCGAGGTGCCCCAGGATGGGGTCTAGCGGCTGCCATAAACGGTTGAATGAAGGCTAAGATCGTGGTGGCTACTCCCAGCGACGCGTGTATTATCTCCGAGCTCCACTCGCCCAGCTGGACGAATATTATTACGAACGCTGCTATCGTCATCGACCACGTGAGTATCATGAAGAATCTGTGCCACTTGGATGCAGAATAACAAGTTAAAAAAATTTTTTTACAAGATTACATAATCCTTAAGGATAGTTTATCGGTGCGATAATATTTTAAAGGGCCATTTCTCGGGAATAGCTGTTATAATAATTAGTAAACACGATCGATTGCAAAGTAGTTTCGTACACAAGCACTGTACGGGTGTTCCTTGGCTATCAAAGATAAGTTCGATGTTATCCTTGGGCGTCAGCCAAGTTTCTGTTCTTCCGCAAAGTTTAGACACTCGGGTTCTCAACGGCGTCGAGTGCGATATTGTCTTGACAAAATGGTAACGAAAGGTAAACGAAGAAGCAACAATTACGAACGTAATATCAAATCGCTAGAACGATTAATCGAACCGTTGTCACGATAATTTAGCGCCCCGTGTTCGATAACGAATGATAATTAAGGCAGCGAACGATTATCTGTAAATTTGATAAAATAAACACTCGCTTTGGCGATCCGTTGCAATTTCGTTCGAATATACCAATTAAAATCTGATTATGCTAAGTAATTAATATACAGCGAGTGTCGCTTAAATTCGGACGGTTTACGGGTACAATCGACTATTGTCTATAAAACGCGAGTACTCGAATCGAGTTAATGAAATTCCTGTACGAGCTAGCTTGACGTTTTCGTATTTCGTGCATGACGACGAAGTTTATCAACCAGTAAATTATTCTCGATTATATTCGATTTTCTATTTTATTTTTGGGTGCAAGACTATTTTCAACGCTATTTGAGTGAAGGAAAATATTATCACTACTAAAACTGATCTCACAGACGCTGATAAAACAGTATATCAGATCGAGATCCTGTGCATCAACGCGGGATTGGATCACGACGGCGTGAACGGTTAATTTTCGCGAAGATCAACAAGGAGACATTATCAAACAGCTCCGTTCACGGTTCCTCCGATTAACCTCGATCCCAAACTCATGGACCCACGGACAGGCCAGGATCGATCCGCCAAATAGGTGACCGTAGTCGACCCACGGGGTCGTTAGTTCCACGAGTGACCTTCTGGTCCCAGTTCACGCGCGCCATTACAGCAAAAATTGGATACTCACGGCGAACCAATGGTCCTTTCCGCACAACTGCGAGCTGACCCACGTTTTCCTGTAGTATCTGGCGAGGAGGATGCCGATCGACGCCGTGCCGATCCACGACGCCAGCATCAGCGCGCCGTGCACACGAATTAGGACATTGCTGGCCGTGGTATAACCGCCGACGTCGGACAGCAATTTTGCGCCGCCACTCGCGTCGTAAACGGTGTCGTGGAACCCGACGCCATTACCTGAACATTTCGACACGCGTTTCTACTTCAAAAAGTCTCCAACTCCCATTAAAAACAAAGAGTATATTAATTTGATTCAAACAGCTTCGAAGGCGACACAGTTTGCAATATGTATGGTTCGACTAGCGAAAGAAAAGCCCCGGAATGAACGCGCGGCGTGCTGTTTTTGATTTATGGGATTGTTAAACACGCCGAGAAAACCTGTCGTTCGCAAAACGGCCCGTATAATAAGGCAAGAAACCGAGGGAACAACCAACGAAAAAGTTGGAGTAACTTTGTTTCGCTTAAATTGCGAACTAAGGTTTCCAACGGCGATGTACGCAGCGGCAGAGAGCAACGTCTTTGAAACACGGGCGAAGTTTCGTTACTCGGGGCACGGGCACCGCGATGTTAGACAAATAGTTTTGAGCGAAACTCCCCCGTTCCGCCGCGCGGAGTTCCAAATGTCGTAAATCCCTCCGACAAGTGTAATAGAAAAGAACGATTACGCACTCCTTAGAGACTTCCCGGCGGCTACGAGAAGGTTGTACGGCGTGTTGACGAGGTCGTACTCGCGTCCTTGCACCACCGTTGTTTTCTCTCGCCAAAATTTACAGGCGATCGTGTCGTCCTTGACGGTGCTCGACTCCAATTGAACCGCCCCTTCCTGCTGCAACCGATAATCGCAAATGGATCAAGGTCGTTCGGGCTGCTTGGAGACCGCGGATCGACGCAATCGTTCCCACGAAGAATCGATTGCTAACAATGTTACGCGCGAAGCGAAAGTCGACCGCGGGGTTCATTGAATCGAGATCGTATTAATTTCACCTGCTCGCGAGTCGCGTGCTTGCATAACGCCGACCTCGATACAGTGGATGACCAAATTGTCAGTTACTACTGTTTAAAGCAAGTTCGATCATTCCTCCTGTTTCTCAAGACTCGCCAGGATATTCTTGCGTGACTTTGCAAATCAATTTCTTCGAATTCAAGCTATGAGGTTCTTAGAACCACTAATTTTATCTACAAATATCTATAATGCGGTGAAGTCTCATTTTCTATTACGAAACAATACCTAAGTTATCAAAGAATGTATATATATATATTCGTCATTTAATGTGTAAGCTACAATTGATCAGAATGTAATTAATAATTTGACCATCCACGGTGCAATTGCCTCAGGTGGTTTTGCTTTCAATGTGCCCCAAGCCACTACAAACCTAATTAGGGATTATGTTAATTGTAAACGCGAACGAGCTTTTGTCAAGACTTTTCATAACAAGATGAGACGAAATAATGCTACGTTTTAATCAATATTTTACGTTTGCTCGTTGGGGATGCGCACAGAGACGCGGCCGTACATTATTAACGAGTCTAATGATTTTCTGATTGTTAGTTTCGAACAATAACCGAATGGAACTCATTATTTCGACGGCTCATTATTTCGTGCAACGGAATGATATTCCAGCCGCGGAGAACCGTTTCGACATTGCAAACACCGGGGATACAAACCATGGGCTGCCGTGTATTATGCTTTCCAGAGTTCCAAGACATGTGTAAAGCAATTTCTCCACCTTCGTTCGCACACTCGACCACGCTGTCGTCGCCCTGCACAAGAGACAAAGGATTAAATAATCGTTGACGCTCGAGTTATTGAAATTTCGAGCCCCCTAAGCGAGCTAAAGAACCCCCGATCGAACCTACTTTAATTAGCACGAGTATTGCTAAAGATTCGAATTTCGCAAGCTTTTGGAGGGTTCTGTTTAGTTTGGAGACGATATAAATTGATTTTTGTCGCGTTTTATCCCCTAAAAATACATATTACAGTCAGAGGATTGGGAAGAGATTCGAGAAATGTTTAATATTGCATGAATTTGACCTGAATCTTCTATGGAACATTATAATAACTGGGCCAAGCTGTACTCTCTGATACAAAGAAAAGTTTTTGAGGATTGTATGGCTTGAAATAAATTTTCTTTAAAAGGGTGTCTCTAAAAGACGTTATTCTACGATTTTTATTAATTTTAATATGTAGAATTATTTCCTATTCTATTTTACAACCCTGAGAACAATTTTAATTGGAGATTTTAGAGGCCAAAATAAGACGTTCAATGAATGTTTTTAGTATCAACAGAATTACCATTTTACTGTCGTCTGACAATCCAACGGCAACATACATGCTGTCACGTGCTTGTAGCTCGAATAAATATCGTTCGCCACGAACCACCACGCTGACCATCGCCATACAATTTTTGGCCTCCACGCATCCTGCTGGTGTGCCAAAACAATTCTTCGTGGTCCCACATCCGGTGTACAGAGAATCCTCCACTTCCTTCACCTGAAAGATCATCTAACCATCAGACTCTGTCCAATCCTCATATTTCATTATCTAACTCCTAATTTCACGCTGAAGTTATTAAAATCCAAGGAAAAGATATTCATCAAATAAAAAATTAATTGGCGTATCCTATGCTGTGATATTTACGGTATCGAGTCGGTGTCGACGTAGCGTAAAAAAAGGGCGTAAATAATCATTCGTCGAGTTACATTTAACGCGGAACATAAATCAGACGCGGGTAACTTCCGCGAGACTTCCGAGAGATTTATTTTCATCCAAAATACCAAGATATTCCCGGTCGCAAGAAATCCGATTCCGCGATGTACCTGTGTACCCGTGTGCACCAGCGTGTTTGTGTGTGTGTGTGTATAACCAGCTTGCGTCGAGCAGCTTAATGGAGTAGTTCAGACCTACTCTGGAAACTCCTCAATAAAGTTTCCAAGTGAGAAACCGAGGGACGGGCGGGATTCGTTCGCGCGTTGCCTTTTCTCACGATGATCTTGTTTCGAAAGTGGACCGGTTAATGAGGACGATACGCAAAAAATGACGTCGACCTGTATCTTCTCATTCATCGTGCGTCGATCCCGTCGAGCTCGCCTCCAGCGTTGACACCCCGGTGAAACCTTCGACCAGGGCAGCGACGTTCGAAACGGAGTACGAGCAGCGTAACGACGTTCGAACAAACACGCTCGAGCGAGCTTATCTTCCCTGAATTCGTTAATTACAGTCACGAGAGCGAGCACGGAGGCCGTTGTCTTCGCAGGAAGAGGAGTATGATGACCAGCCTTCAACTTAGATACACCTCGCGAAACAGAGTAATTACGGGCGGAGCGACCCCGCTGGGTGCCATTAACTGGACTCGCGCTTAGCGATACGACCAACTATGATTCAAACCGCAAGTATCGTCGTTTGCTCCGGGAAGTCGGCGGAGATCAAGTTCAACGCGACGATCGACCCGTATCGCAGGATTTACTTTGTTATTCGTTTTAAAACAGTATTTCGTGCAGCTCGCGGGGAGCATAATTCAGCTCGTAACGAGCCCGCGCGTTTAATGTTAACGCAAAGGATAATACGAAGAGCCACGACAAGGAGAAGGAAAAATCCAATTACGTTTTAATCTCGTACGTTAAAAAACTGGCTCAACAACTGGCAATTCTGCGTGAAAACGCGGGTTTAATGTCTGACTTTAAGCCCTTTGATAGTCATTCTAACGTGGAACGGAGCATGCAAATGTTTGCTGCATAAAATTCGGCAATTTTGCATAGAACGTACGATGGAGAACTAGACTAAATAAAAACATAATGACTATTGGCAAAAATTGAATAAAGAAAAAGTCTGAATGTTTATTTCATTTGTCTCTCTTCATTTGATTAGAATTTAAATTTGTGATTCCATCGCTGTGTAACTTATTCTTGCGCCGTTTATTTGCAGTAAAGTCAGTCGACGAATTCTACGCAGCACTTGGTAATAATATTCGTAATTGCTGCTTCTCGCCGCACGAAGATAACGCGAAAACATGTTCGCGTTAATGATTGTGAAAGGCAGCGAGGCAACTCCGCGCGATAAAATCGGTCTACGAGCGGTTCTTTTCATTTCGATTTTACTCCACATAAACAGTCGATCGATGCAAAATGTCGAGGAAACATTTCACTCCGCGGAAGAAAGTTACGCTGGTTTCGAGAACAGGTAGAATTTGCCAACCGATTACGTAAGCTGCTCGTACACGCGCGAAATCAAGCAACGATTTTTTCCCAATAAACCCTAACGGCGTTCTAACAGGTTCGACTCGAGCGATTATGCGATATCGAGTTAAATACCAGTAGCCGGAATAAAATTCTTCGACCGACTCGGTTGATTTAGAAACTCGATATGGAACAAGATCGAATCGTCAAGGAATAAGATTTTATCTATCGAGGGGAACAATACAGTGATACTTACGATTACGTTTACACTTGTCCCTCCGAAGTATGCGAACGAATCCGTGGAATCGTTAAGCATTGTATGGCTCTAACAACAATTAGAGACGATCGTTCGCGATTTATCGCGTTAATTATTGCGAAAGACATTGAAGCAACTCGGGAAGATGATATCACTCGATGTTTCTTTCAATGATGATCGAGGTGAACTGTCAAGGTGAGAATTGAAATGACAATGGTTCGAACAAGAGGGTAAGTTGTTCACTAAATTTTAATTTTAGATAGATTCGACGAAGATAAAATTTATTAAGATCTGTTGAAAGTCTAGCTATTTTTTAGATAAAATTCCAGGGGAAAAAAATACGGCAATGGAACCAATAAAGGCTGTAAGAATCGCAAGAGCGTTTGGATCGACCGATACGAAGGTGAATGGCGAAAGTACATAAACCATAAAACCGACAGCGCATCCTGGCTTTGAAAATGATGCATTTGCGCGTAGCTAACTGCATAGCGTGCACGTGTGTACATGCATAATACATGCGAGCGCGCATCGCGGGGCAATATTCGTTAAAACATGAACTTACTTTCAACTCGTAAATATTCCAACACCTCTTGCGAACAATCGTATTTCCGTCGTTGAAATCACCAATTAGGTGTCCAAAATAATTTCTAAATTTCCACTAATATAGACGACCTTCGATTAAACAAACGATTTGGTCTGTGATATTCTTGACTCGACTGTGTTAAAAATCTATTTTTATTTCCATTTGGGTGTTGTGAAAATACTGTCCAAAATAAAACTCTTCGACCTGTTGAAATAGTTAGAATCGATAGAATTGAAATAATGAAATGGAATTTTGTCCACCAAAACGGTTTCAAAACACCATTGAATTATTTAATGAATCCAATGTGTGATAATTTTGCCAATAATTTATATATTTTATATATTTTCTAGATAAAAGAAGACACGTGATTATATTTGGAAAAATATTCGAAACTTCGATTGCTCCATAGGGAAATATACTTTCAAGATATAATTATCAGATGTACTACTTTCTCGTTTGCATTCGAGCGTCTCGCAAGATATTCGAATATGTGCTCCTCGTATCTCCAATTTCTTGGAGTCTATTTTTCGATTTGTAATCGCTAATACCACGCAAGATGTATAAACATTCTCTTTTCGTACCAACAATTTGTTCAGGTCTACTTCTTTCACTTACAATTGCTAACGAATTAACAAGATTTTTAAATATACACTCTTCGTTTCGTGAATTTCTCCACTGCTTTAGTTTGCAATTTCTAATAACACGAAGTTCATCCTTTTCATTAATCAAACTGTAACAAGTTATCGAGAAAAAATGTCTAAAGTTTCTAGAGTATCATGACTAAATAATAAACGTAACTTCAACATGGTGTTTCCATGGTTAATTAATTTCTGTCAACCTCGTTTACAATTAATTTCTAAAAACGTGACTCGTGTCGAAATTAATTTAACATTTCATTTTCTAATTTATGTCCTCTGTGCACGGACTTCGAAAATACTTGTCGACCCTATTGTAAATGCCAATTGTAAGTCGAAGAACGCGTGCACATTTGTAGTATTGTAAGGAGCTATGAAGAATGCACCTACGTGACGTTCGCGATATAAGAGAAATCCCAGTTTTCACCCATAAAATGCGTTTTCACGATAGTAATGCTACTAGTCATCACCGTACGTGATACGAAATCCTGATCGATAGTGAGATGCTTTAGAGGCGACCTTTTTCCAAAAAATTCTGATCGCTAATGCAATTCTGATGCAACTTTTCACGTACTTTTCTGTTAAATTCTTTAAAAAAATCTCAATTCAATTTAAACTCAAGTTTCAATTCTCTTTTTTTTTATCGATAGATAAATTTTATTATGGAACTATACCATAGTGATATGCACCCGTACACATATTCACGTTGACCTGGTTCCAACAGAATGATTGGTAACTTCCGAACCGGAAGTGGGAGGGAATCTGGAACCCCGGAAAGGCACAACTTCATGCCAAGACCTTTCGAATGATACATAACTTGTCTATTTTAGGGCACGTGATCGGAGTAGCATAGCTGCCACGAAATTTTCCTCGTTCCCTTAAACACACCGGGTGGCGATATAAACATTTCCAAAAAACATTGGCAATATCAAAGAACGTGATTCGATAAAGTTAAAAAATAATTCCATTTTCGAGTTAAATATGCCATTCGTACGAGTAATGGTACAACTTGATATAAAATTTCTATTAATTCCTCTTGATTCCATCATTCCGACACACCCTATACGTGTATTAAAATTCATAATTACTGTAAATACCAGTGGGAATAACAATTTTTCTTGGAACTAACGTTGTTTTAAACATTCGTCAGCACAAAACCATCGAGATAAGGGATCCGAGAAATTGCTGATACGAATATTTGCTTAAAATTCTTACGGGATGTTAGCAAAACTCTGCACTCTTGATCCCAGAAAGATCAGACGTACCTTTCCTTACCATTTGATCGCGCGAAAGGTGACCGTCGGGTAATTAAATTTACATAACAGGAAATCGATGCTAAGATCGCATTAACGATTTTATCATCGAGTCTGCGTCGCGGAGTTGCAATTCCATACGTGTTCTACCGGTCGAAAACAAACGGTTTCGCGATTCTATCGATGTTACGAGTCGATTTCCCATAGCCTGCTCCCCCCGCCGGCATGGTCGATCAACGCGTCCCGTGGCTATGATTATCGGGTGTGAAAAGCACGTTTACCACGTGATCAGCGGTCGGGATGTAATGGGAGAATACTTACCTCGTAATCGACGGTCGGGCTGTAATAGGGTGGCGTGGTGGTTCTAAACGTGCTGGCCGGTGTGGACGAAGTCAACACGTCGATGGATCGTTTGTTAACGTTCACTCTTGGCGACTCCACGGCGACCCAGTACGTACTGTAATCCTGGGCGAAGGTGGATCTACGGCGCAAAGAAATCACAAGCAGATATCAGCGAACGCACGAGAACCGCAGATTTATCTGGCCAGGGAAATGGGGAACTTTCGCGGGAGTACAAAACTTCACTACTGAAAAGACCAAGGGTGTTTACCTAGACTTCTCCACAGGTGGCCAATCTGTTAGGCCAGTGGCTCTTTATCTGGACGTTCGTGGACTCCAAAAGGATGCAATATAGAATTTTTGGAAACTTTATACATGCTTATTGAAATTGCGAACATTGTTTGAAAATCGATTGATCTTGTGTGATTGTATCGGTTTGAGAAGCGTATCAAAATTGAAATATAAAGATTAACTTATATAGAATGTAGAGGATGCAAGAAGCAATGTTTGAACATGAATTAAGCTTGTGTGAGTGGTCATGTCGGTTTGAAAAGTACGTGTATTAAAATATGATCGACTAGTATGATGTGGGTGGCGACCGATTCGAATTGTTTCCGATAGGAATTCACGGTGGAACGAAATCCTTTGTCGAACGATCGCGGAGCGGTTGAAATAGGAGTTTAATATAGGTCGCAGGTAAAACAATATAATAAATTCGAAACAAAAGCGGGGGAATAATACTTTATCTGTCACGCGGGTGAATAAAGATTAGTCGAGGATCGAACCGCGGCGCAAAGAGCCTCCGATATAATCAAAGACGATTCCTGCGCTTATTTCGAGCGATGTATCATCGGTTGACGGTCGATTTTATGCATTTATGACGTACGGGAATATGAAAAACATATGCTAAACGTATGCGGAATGTAGGAGTTGCGCAATGCGTACCCTGTTCGCCTAAATCATACCTCCGTTCGCCAATATTGAATACGAATAAGTCAAGCAAAAAATTGACGGACGATATTTCATTTGGTGTTACATTTTTGAGAAAAGAAAAAATAACTCTTTAACGTACGATTCCGTAAGAATAGAATTACTTATGCTGTTTTTCTCGAAGTTGTCACGATTTCTAAATTACGCCGGTGTTTTTAATAGCATCGGTGCGATTTATGAACTCTTGCTTAACATGTTAAAGCAGAACCTGATCCGGTGCATAAAGTGTGCAATGTGGGTTCACGAAAGTTGCAGAAAACGAACGCGCGAGCCTAATCGACGAAAGAAAAAGATTTTAAATTGCAATCGGGGTGAAATAGCCGACGAAAACGTTTGTCTCAATTGTCGCTTGGAACGAAACGAGACTTTGTCTGGCGGAAGTTGAAGAATTTGTATCGACGGCGGGTAAAGTTCGAATCGCGGGTAGAAACACGGCCAAGTCGGAAGACAATTTACGTCGAACCGGTTATTTATGGTTATCGGCGTGAAGTTGGTGAAGTTTTAATAGGGCGGGCCCTCCGCGCCGTATTAATTGAGCGTTCAGGAATAACCGGGGCCGGACGACCGGCGATTATGAGCGGAAAAGTTTATAACGAATGTCCCTGGCATTTCTCGCGCGGTTACACGCCGCGTTATACCGTATTCCGTGCACGAGGCTGGCGTAAACCCATGCCGCGTGCCACGCGTTCATACCTAATCGTAATTCATATGCCGACAGATCGCGGCGCGTTACGTGCTCTCGAGACCCAGTCTCGACCCAGAAATTTAACGTCTAATTAACCCTCGTGTGGGGAGTACACATAACGGGCTACACGGCTGCCCACTCTTTCTTTTAATTATTTTCTATGTTCTTGACAAAACATTGCCAAACTACCTTAGTTCATTCTTCTCTATTCGTATGTTGGACTAAATCAACGTTAAAACAATTTCTTCCTTATTTTGTTTCAGTCAAAATAGTCTGTTTGATAGTTTTTTTAATTATTTTCTATGTTCCTGACAAAACACAGTCAAATTGCCTTAGTTTATTGTTTACTATTCCTATGTTGGATTAAATCCATGGTAAAACAATTTCTTTCTTATTTTCTTTCAGTCAAAATAGTCTGTTTAATAGTCCTTTTAATTATTTTCTATGTTCCTGACAAAACACAGTCAAATTGCCTTAGTTTATTGTTTACTATTCCTATGTTGGATTAAATCCATGGTAAAACAATTTCTTGTTTATTTTGTTTCAGTCAAAATAGTCTGTTTGATAGTTTTTTTAATTATTTTCTATGTTCTTGACGAAACACAGCTATACTACCTTAGTTCATTCTTTACTATTTCTATGTTGGATTAAATCCATGGTAAAACAATTTCTTTCTTATTTTCTTTCAGTCAAAATAGTCTGTTTAATAGTCCTTTTAATTATTTTCTATGTTCCTGACAAAACACAGTCAAATTGCCTTAGTTTATTGTTTACTATTCCTATGTTGGATTAAATCCATGGTAAAACAATTTCTTTCTTATTTTCTTTCAGTCAAAATAGTCTGTTTGATAGATCTTTTAATAATATTCTATATTCTTGACAAAACACAGCTAAACTACCTTAATTCATTCTTCACTATTCCTATATTGGATTAAATCCATGTTAAAACAATTTCTTTCTTATTTTCTTTCAGTCAAAATAGTCTGTTTAATAGTCCTTTTAGTAATATTCTATATTCTTGACAAAACACAGCCAAACTGGCTTAATTCATTGTTCACTATTCCTTCATTGGACTAAATACTTGTTAAATCAATTTCTTCCTTATTTTATTTCAGTGAAAATTGTTTAATAGTTAGAACAATATTCTATGTTAATAAGAATATTTTAATAATATGTGTTGGACTAAATCCATGTTAAAACAATTTCTTCCTTATTCTATTTCAGTGAAAATTGTTTAATAGTTAGAACAATATTCTACTTAATAATATTCTATGTTAATAATAATATTCTAATAATATTCTATGTTCTTGACAAAATACTGCCAAAATGCCTTAGTTCATTGTTCATTATTCCTTCATTGGACTAAATCCTTGTTAAATCAATTTCTTCCTTATTTTATTTCAGTGAAAATTGTTTAATAGTTAGAACAATATTCTATGTTAATAAGAATATTTTAATAATATGTGTTGGACTAAATCCATGTTAAAACAATTTCTCCCTTATTTTGTCTCATTGAAAATAGTCTGTTCGGAGTTTCTCTTAAAGCAGGTTCATTAGTAGTTTGTTGTTTTAGCTAAAAGTGACCTGGTAGAGGTTGTGCAACGTAAAATAAACGACAGTAGTTAAAGGTTAATTATTTTAACCTCTGTTGGAAAGCCACCCGCACGATCGGGGACAGAATTACTGGAGCTGGTCGACCTAAGACTGAGGGACCTAAATATAAATTTTGAATAATAAACTAAAGGCAAACAACCGTGCATTAACTTTTCTATATTTGTTACATAACGAAGCTTGTTCCTCGTTTTCTCAAAAACTCGAAATTATTCCACGAACCAATTTAGGAAATTCGAGTCGACCAAGATAATCGAAGTGATTAATCAGAGTCCTTTCTAATAATACTGGTCCGGCAAGATTTTAGCAGAAAACTGAACCTACCTTTTCTCGGAAGACCTTTTTAAATCCGTTCACGGAATTCGTTTAAAGTGTGGGAATTTTGAGAAAGTCTCGATTGGATAAATTTTAAACGTGGCAATTTTGACACCCTTGCATCAACTGTAATTTCCAATTACAGCACGTTACGAAAACGAAACTTGAAACTTATACTTTACATGAAAGATGAAGAAGATTGCACGATAAGATTATTCTTATGGAAAAAGTGGGTTATACCGGGTTAAATGTATTACACGTCCGCCTCATTAATCCTGAGTAACGTCGGAGATCAAACGTAACAGTCTGAATCTTGATACCCATTTCTTACGTAAATATCTTTTTTGGAATGGATCCTCTGCCTTTTTCATATAAAGCACAAGTCTCAAATTTCATTTTGAACCGTGGGAAATTATTACTAATCCAAACGTATTTTACAGGACAAATAATCTTGGAATTATATTAAAAACGAATTTTTCCCCCTTCGAAAAGAGGATATTTCAAAGAAAAAGTTAATTGTTTTGGCATTTGAGTAAATAACGTTGGATTATCGTTAGATTCTTAGTCTAAAGATAGTCTTTTTTTATCGTTTATAGCCATTTAATTGCCACGAACTTTTCTATAGGGTAAAATAAATTTCGTTCCCCAAAAGAATGACACATCAAAGAATCTTTTATTCCCGGAAAGTAAGTGAAGGATAGCTAATGCTTATGACCTCATTCTTCATATAATTAAAAATACTGCAACCCCCGGCGTAATAAAATTCTTTCCATTTTGATAAAATGAAGAATGGCAGAGAGAATTTTTTAAAAATGCTCGAAAATTAATTTTTTCTATATCCACGCTTGAAATAACGTTCGTGCAGAGTAGCTTAACGAACAGAATAATCCTGAGAAGATTATCCCGATCATCGACTATCAAAAGCAACGATATTTCTTCGCCGAGCAAATTACCTTCGAATTACGTACGGATCGATGATACACGCTCAAATATTTTCAGAACAGAGGTAAAACGTAACATTCTGATGTTCGTACCAAGCAAAGAACTCGTTGCACGTCGCGACGATATTATTTAATCTCTTACCGAGCTCGTCAAGCAATTTCATCGCGCGGGGATATAAATTATACAACGAATTCGCTAGTCGCGACCGTCGTAATTGATAATAACTCAACGATCTTATGGCAAGGGGAGGGAGAGGTGAACCGTGCAAGTTTAAAGCGACGCTGGAAACTGGAAGACCTTTACATCCAACAGGTCGTGACAGCCTGACATGGATTATGAGGGAATTTAATGTGAAAGTACGCCCGGCGCTTGATTTTCGTGACTCGATTCACCCTTGCTTCCGCATTCCTATCAGTTATTCCCTTTACACGCCCAACAACCGTGTCGTCGTGGTGAGTTTCCTACAGTATGCACTACCGAATCAAAGTTGAATCACTTTATATCCGGCCCCTCTCAACCAAATTGTCCCTACTCTGTTTCCCAAACATTCATTCGTACGCTGGACCAAAGAATTCCCCAACGATGTTCGATTTTTGCTATTTATCGCGTTATTTCATAGATTTTTATTCTATTTTTCAGCAAAAGGTAATATTTATATGTTTGGTAAACATATTACGATGTACTGTGCTTAGGTGAAAAGAAGGCTAGCACCTAATTGGATTACAAGTAAACACAAATGAGGTACATTGAAATAGTTGTTAATAGCAAAGTGTCTTGAAATTTGGATGCACGTTTTTAATATTTTTGTGACACAACTCCAACCAAGACTGCCTATTCAATGACTATTGTCCCTACGAATTAATTCAATACTCATCTGTTTTGACATTGTAGAAAAATATAATCGTGGATTTATCCAGGCAAAGATTCTGGTTTTATTTTGGGAATTTTGTATCGACATACTCTTGGTTGAAAACGTGAACATTTTCGTAAACGATAAATGGTTTGTGGCGACTAGGAGGGACGTTGTTGAAGTAGCGTTGCTTCGTTTTAATACTCACTTGAAGACAATAGAGCCCTCGTAATCCGCAGGTGCCTCCCAATCGAATTCGAGATTGTGCTTCTTGCTGGTGTTGGTGTGAGTCACCGCATTCTTAACAGAAGGAGAGAAAACGTTTTATCGAATGGCAGAACGTCCTTCGTGAAACGCGCGACACGTGAATCACTCAGCCTTGGGGTCCTTAACTACGATCGGAAGGATTTTGTACCACGGAAACGCTCGCGCGAACTATCGGACTTTCCAATCGTCGGACCGAAGGACTTGCTCGCTCGTATTGTACCCAGTCCTGCCATAAGTCCCCTCACAAGCGTGCTAGTGTTATTCCGTAAAATACATTAGGCTACGAATTAAGAAACATCAGTTTTAAAGATACGCTAACAATTTTAACCTTATACGGGGTCTTTTTTATCAAATTTCACCTTGGAAGAACCTCGCGAACCTCGTAAAAATTTAGGTAGCCCGAACAACGCCCGAAAGGTGGCCATTTTGAATAATATAACAATTATTTTTTTCCTGCCAATTAATTATGCAAATAAATTCCATTTGGGTAAAAATGATAATTAGACTGGCGAATGTTTGCGCGGGTAAAATATGCAAAGGACATACACAACACTTATGCGTCCCAAATAAGCATAATTGGGGGAATTGGAATTCCTCGTGTAGATTCCACGTGGTATACACAACATAGTGCAAAAGAAAATAATAGATTGAAATTAGAGCAATTCTATTTTTTATTAAATGGGTATTCTCTAGACTGGGCTGAAGAAATTTATAAAATTGATGAAATTAGTTCTCAAGCTCGACAAAATTAATTCCTTGTGTAGATTCCACGTGGTATACACAATATAGTGCAAAAGAAAATAATAGATTGAAATTAGAGCAATTCTATTTTTTATTAAATGGGTATTCTCTAGACTGGGCTGAAGAAATTTATAAAATTGATGAAATTAGTTCTCAAGCTCGACAAAATTCGAAAGACCACATTTCGTGTACTATGACTAGACTGCGGATGTTTATGCATTTATGGGAAATTTTAATCCTCAAAAAACTACAGAATTAATATGCAAAAATATAAGAAATACTTAAAGTAAGATACGAATTATTATATTTAGGGGTTGAGACAGAGCTCTAGAAAGCTCTGATTTCATTAATTCTATTAATAAAAATGTGAATTTGCATAAAGATCCGCAGTCTAACTATGACATTGTAACAGAACCTTTGACAGGCCCAAGTGCAACGCTCCTCGGGGTCGAAGAGCTGAGAAACCATAGTACGAGGATAACTTTTACCTTTACACCTTGCGTGCACTCGATGGCTCGGGCCGATTCAGGCAGGTTCGTGAATTCCCCGACAAATTCGCCAGTCTCGGAGTCACGCGCGAGTATCATGAAGCCCTCGTAGGCGAGACCTTGAGGACTTCCCAGAATTAAGCGGACTCTGCCTTGTCCCGCAGCCGGTAAAACTTGGTAAGGAGGTGGGTAAGTTTCCTGGTTCGTGCTCCCCGGGTGACGAGGCATCAGATCCTCGCATGCACTTGTCGGCGCTCCATTGGGTAAACCCAATACGCTCGCGAAGAGATAACTCACCAAGATTAACAGCGACCTCTTCGTTTCTGCAAGAGATATTTGCATATCAGCCACCTGAAACATCCTCGAACGTTACCCATTCCGTTTGAAACATTTTATTATTATCGCCACCAGCACTGGCAAAATTACCATATTGTTAACCGATCGAAATTTAAATACATTACTCCTTTTCCACCCAGATATTTTACATCTACCGTGATCAAAGAGAGTTAAAAATTGAGAAATTATTCCAGCCAAAGAGCAATACATTAGGGACCAAAATTAATGAATTTTACATTGTTTTATTTATTTTTATTCGGTCCCAGAGTGGCTCGAACAATTTCAGCTTTAAAATTCGATCGCGAGGACGGCACGCGAAGCTGTAAAAACAGATCGAACGGAAGATCGGGCTTCTTTCGGAGCCTCGATGGTCGCCATAGACTCCGGAGACTAGTATCCCCGTAAGAACCGATCCCACCGACGATCTGCCCTTATACGACACTGACACGCATTATTCCAATCGGCTTTTTGCTAGCTCCGGACCGCGGAATAATTGCGAAGAGGTTGCTACGTACACGGATGTCGCTCCAATTCTAGGAACATCTACATGTATAATAGAGCAGGCTGGCAGTTTATAACGCCGTGGAATTCGCGCTTCTTTCGCGACGATGGAACCCGTGACTTATGCGTCCAGTTTTCCGCGTAGATACGTCACTTGCACCCATTGAACTGTTTAACGCGGGAATGCCGTGCATTAGTCACCGCCCCGAACCGACCATAACTTCCTGCTGTTCCTTTTTTTTCCAAACCAGTATTGCGTTCAATTTTACATTGTACTTCCTGGTAGCGTTTATGGGAGCCTTCGGTCTTAAAACAACGCTACATTTATTCAGAAACAAAGAATAGAAACAATACAATTTTGATCGCCATTACACGCCCAATGTTGAATGTATGTTTGTGAATCCTAGTAAAAGACAATGTTAAATAATTTTTTAAAGGATCAAGACCGACTTGTAAATTGCACGAGAGGAATTTTAACCAAGAATTCTCTTGTCATCTTCTCATTTAATTAATCTGTGTTATTCGTCTTCATCCTACGATATCGAAAATGACTCAAGAGCTTCGTCGAAACGTTTAGATCGATCTTGAAAATTGTGCTGGTGCGAAACGATGAATCAGAGCATTTTTTTGTTATTTCGCCACAATCGGATATATTTATGAGACCTTATAGGTTCAAAGAAGAAGAAAAAAACGAGTAAAAGGAGAACAGGTATTCCGGCTGTTATTTACGTAAAAATCCGTTCGTTTGTTTTCGTTTCTCGGATCACATAATTTATTACAATCGTTGTGCGCACAATCGAGCAATTTATCGCTGTGAAGCAACGACCAGGGTCGCGTTTAAAACGGTTACATAACGGACGAGGCGTTTCAGTATCGTTTAGGAATGCACGAGTAAAGAAACCCTGTGGGTCGTACAACAGGACTCGATAGGCGAAAGTCCAGCGTCTTTCGCGTGTGGGTTACGTACAACTTGTGCAGCTATTAACAATAACTCATTCATTTCCAGTGCACGCGTTGCTCGTATACGCGCGTTGAATCATCGCGAACGACCAAGCAGCTTAGCGTGCACTAACGATCGCGAGTCTCGACGAACAACTTGGGGAATCGGAAGACAACCTGTTAGACGAACTTTCAGTCCGGGGACGTTCGATGGTCCGTCGATTTTCTAGAAAATTACATTTTTTCACGATAAAAACAAATATTTTCACTGAAAGTACCACTATAGGATTATTGGAAAGTACGGAAGATTATTTTAAAATTCCTATTATCGAATAAATGTCTAATAAACAGTACTTAATTTTTGCATTCGTGATATCTTAAATACAGGGACCGAGAATAAGTTACATTCAAACTCAACAGAAATTCTTGTTCGTTGCTAATTTTTGAATTCAAATTACCGTTTTTAATGGCGTAAAAAGGAACTCGCTAGGGAAGAGCGGAATAGAATTGATAATATTACCATAACTGTTATTAGCAATCGAAATGAATTTCCCTCGACGATAATAACCGTTACGAGCGACTGTATTTTCGTAGTCGACAAAAAAATTCCGCTTATAACCGTTACTTGTAACCGAAACTGTTTTAATCGACAAAAATAACTCCTCTATTTCGGTTAGGCTAAAAATACTCGAGCTTGCAAAACTCATCGAAACTCTTGGGACTTACAGAACGATCACGGTCGCCATTTTAAGCGAAAACCTACGGTCTTGATCCTGCAACACTAACCCATACCCATAAATAACTATCTACTGAAAAGTCCAGGAACGCGAGATACACATAACGGAACAAAAACGTATAGAAACGAGACACGTTAATAAATCGGTGGATACCTGTACTTATAAAATTTATATAACACTGCCCAGGAATGCTATGAAATAACATGTGCACCAATAAACATCGAGGACGTCTGCGATGGAAAACTAGAGTGACAATCGACGCGTAAACTGCGATCCATTTTTTTAAAAAGAGAACACCGGCTAAAAAAAAACTATGGAAATCACCGGTCTAACCGCTTCTCACGTCCGATAGTCATCGCCGCTGGCTACGGTGGATTTCAATGTCTGCTTTGTGGAACACTCGAAACACGGAAACACTTTTTACATTGTTTCCCGGCGGTTACGAGTGATCCACGGACGCGTCATCCCGCCGGCCTGGATCCAAGGGAACGATCGCGTTTTTAGCGAAAATTCCATAAATTATTTCACGGTTCTGGGATCCGGTCGGTGGCATCCGAGTCAAGGTCGACGGTATGCACTCGCGTTGCGGCTCGTTTACAACGCTGCGACAAGCTACGCGTCCTATGCACCGCTCGAAGCAGTTGGAATAAAAAGGAGCGGCATTCGAAGCACGCGCGGCTATGTGCGCGCAACGTTTTCCATGTCCCGTGGGCTTAACACCGATAACACGGATTTAGTGGGCCGCACACCAGCGACGCTCGCGTCCATCAGACCCCGACACGTACATTCCCCGACATGTGGCACCTGATACCGACGACCCAGAACACGGTAGACCCGTTGCACACGACTCTGAACTCCGTTGAACCCCGGAATACCTCCAGAGACCCTGAATTCGAATCGAACTCGAGAATTTACCGATGATTTCAGAGCTGTGGAACATTGTATAGCCAACCTCAAACTCGTAGAATTTGGTTCTGACGACCTAGGGACGGTTTAGGACAGGCAACTTAAACTATCTGATGATCTGAGATGGTACAGAGGATCCTGAACCTGTGCAATTCAATACCAGAGGCTTTGGGACATCTGCAGAAGATCCAGGGACAGTACAGACCACTGTGTGTGCCCATGCAACTCGATACCAATAACTTCGAACTGTATAAGATTCGATACAGGTGATTTTTCATCCATGGAACACACTCAGGTTCACAAACAGGTTCAAACAGATAGTTCCTACTCTAACCACAGACGATCGCAAGCCAGTGACTTATCATATAGATGAACTAACTCCTTGCTATCTATCTACCTAGCTCACACCTTGCTCACACCTGTCCCAGCGCAAACCGTATACCACTGGAACATACATACCAACGCATACAATATCAAATTAGTGAAGTTGGTGGTCGAGAAACCATGGATTCGTGATATCCGAGACGCAGGCAACCTCAAGTAGTTTCGAACTTCGGGGTTTGATATTATATTCTAATGTTTGGGAATAGTTGTTCCCAGTACCAACGAACTTTCCACTTACCGCGATACAAACAACTTCGTACAAGTTGAGGCAGATACAACCTGTGGATTCATAATATTAAATTCATACCAGACCAGCAGGAGTCGATACAAAAGAGCATCGGTCGAACCCGGTACTACAAGAACCCATAGAACTTGACGCAAACACTCTGGGTATAGTACAGACTGTCTAATACTTGGAAGACATAATACGGGCAATCTCGTACGAGTAGAACACAATGTAAACAACGTTAGACTCGCGAGACTGCGTGTAGACAACAGACTTCGAGACACAATAGTATCTCCATACATGCATACGAATCTCGTTCGTGTCGTTGTGTTGACAAGTTGGAAGGTGCACTTAGCAACAAGTGTCTTTCGTTAGAAACGGGGGACAGATTATTGGTGAAATACTGATGCAAGTTTTAAGCTTCAAGTTCACCCTTTTGTTTTGGTGCACGCGATCTTGTTGATCAGGCAATGCCTCCGCTTTTGGGGTTCCAGTAACGAATCCCATCGAATTGGACAATTAATGTTTAATAGACCAATTTAATATTTTAAATAATGTTATAGTAATAATTGTGTTTGGTTGAGATACTTGTGTAGCTGGAAAAACGTCCTTTAAAGTATTTTCGACCGTGATCAAATAATTGCAAATCTGTGACTCGCGACATGGCAAAACGCAACCCGTCCCCCGGACAAAAATGAGTTTGACGTGTCTGTCCCGCTGTACTCGATAAAGTTTCATTCTCGGACCAGTGAAACCCGATGCAATTGTCCCCTGCTTCGGTAGAGTTCGATATAATCGACACAGGTCAGACACGATACGGATTGTTCAGGCTTCTGGGACCCCTGAATCCCTGGAGCTGCTCAGATCCCTGTAAATCCCTCGAATCTTGGATTTAAAAATAAAAATTACTACTGCAAACAAAGAGACTTGACTCTTGAACATTGCTTTTATTGGTCGCCTATTATACGAATGAATCTGATTCTCAAACTCATTTTTACTGATACGATTCATGAAAAGGGCACTTTTGATTCGTCTAAATTATCTTCCATGGATTTCTAATTGCGAATAGTCTCACAGAAATTGTAACCAGATTCTGGACGATTAATAATTAACGATGAAAACGTTAAAAACCGAGCAACGTTCGATTGTACCGTTGTGCGTTTCAAAGATGTACAGTTCGTCGTCCCGAGGAGCAGAAAAAAATGCGTGTGCGGGTACCAACAATAGTATTAAACGAGGACATTGTTCTTTCGCCGGTTCTCGTCGCAACGGAGAGACAACCGGATAAAAATCC